GCCGCACACATACATACACACATACATGCATACATACATACGTACATACATACGTACATACATACATACGTACGTACATACGTACATACGTACATACATACATACATACATACATACATACATACATACATACATACATACATACATACATACGTACATACATACATACATACATGCACACGGCGCACCTGTGTCTCCGTGAGGCGGCAGTTCATGGAGCGGTGGATACCGAACAGGTCACCCCGAGCCGCGTACTCCTCCACCAACACAATGTGCTTCTGTGGGGTGGGGGGGGAGGGGCGGAAAGACGAACGAGTGAAGCTGCTGCCAGGGAAAGATAAACAGAACTGACCAGTAAGGGGGTTCGGGGGGTGGGGGGTGGGCGGAGCGCTCTTATAGGTCGGGATTGCACAGCCCAGCAGCGTTACTAATGGCTGACGAGCAAAACGAGTAACGAAAGAGGGGAATGTAGTACACTGCAAACACGAGCGCCACAATACCCTCATCACCTCACTTTCATTTTCCCCCCCTCCCCCCAAAAAAACCCCAAAACCCCATATCACCTCGTCCTGAAATGCCGCGTACAGCATGATGATGTTCCTGTGCACCAGCGGCACATGCAGCTCGATTTCCCGCCGGATCATGTGTACGACATTGTACGGCACCTTGCTCAGGAAGTACACCTGCGTGCGTGTGTGTGGGGGGGGTGGGGTGGGGGTGGGGGGAGGAGGAGATGCGGGGGACAGAGGGCCAGGGAGGTGATTGCGGTGTGGTGAGGGTTGCAGATTTATCATTCTTCTTGGTCTGCCCATGTCGTCCTGTCACGACGTCGGACACCGCCGCAAGTAAGGTAGGGCCGCGTTCCCGTGCTACTGCTGCTACAACTGCTGAAGCTACTGCTCCCCGATCTACATTCCCCCCACCAGAAGCGAACGGTGTGCGATTGCGTCTCAATGCCCAAAAAGCAATCGCAGTACGACGGTGATGCCGTACCCCCACATCGTACCCCCATGCGTTCAAGAGCTAAACAAGACCCCCCTGTGTTTACAGCAGGGGGCAAACCCCCCCCCCTTCCCCCGCCCTTTCCCCCCCCTCCCCACACACCTTGAGTGCCACAGTGGTTCCGGAGCGGAGGCACGTGGCCCGGTACACCGCCGACGTGGCGCCCTTGTACATGCGCTTAACGACCTGGGAGCGGGGGAGGGGGAGGAGCAGGGGGAGGAGGAGGAGGGGGTAAGAGACGAACCACCAGCAAGTGAAGCTCCTGCCAAGGAAAAACAGTACAGCTACTGCAACAGTATCCGAACAACGTATCCGAAACCACAACACGCCAGTACAAGCACCTCCGAAACCACAAAAAACAGCGTGTGCACGGCTCTTCCCTCCCCTTTCCCCTCCCTCTCCGACAGTAATGAAATGCGAAACCCATCTCCCGCGACCCATTTTCGTAAAGGTACGACCCCCCCCTCCTGCAGCTGAACCCCCCCAAAGAAAAGATCCCACGCTGCGNCCCCCCCCCCGCCC